AGGCTTGGTGGGTTCTTTGCTGCAGAGCCCTAGTCTTTCTCCAGCTTTTAATCAAGATTATACTATATCAAGCAATATGGTGCTTCTAATGTACACCACTACATTTTTGCCATTTACGGGTCACAGACATGTTAGATGGGAGATCCTTGAGTAGAGCTTCCAATGTTTTTATTTGAACTTTAATATAGGTACAGGAGAATCCAAATTTCATTGGAGCCCTGGTGCTGTGGGAAGAGGGGAAAGAGTGTTTACTGTGACAGGCCTGGTGGATTTTCCTATCGCTGACTGGGTCCTCTGACTTTGTCTTTTGTATCAGGACTTTACTTAAGCAAGTGGTGCGTTCAGCCCTTGCAAACTTTTATCAGGGAACATGCTACCTTGTAAACCAAAAGAGACAAGATCCTGCTTCCAGGGAGTCTACAATCTAAAACAGATGAGAGGCAAGGTTAGGACAACAGAGGAAAAAGGGTATGTGGGCACTTCAGGGAGTGCCAATAAGTGCTCTCATTTTGGATTGTTAAGGTGTGAGACGTCCCCATCACCTCAATGAAATGAATTGCTGGTTGACTTCGACATGTGTCAATGAATGTGATGTCTTTTTCAACCCCTCTGCAAAATTGCTGCCATATTCTGAAGAGGAAAAAAGAGGACACATTTGCCAACTTCTACTTTTAAATATGGATCACTATGGCGACTCTACCCATGAGAAAGTGGACTTGTCTTGGAAAAACAGAGGACACATAGCAACCCTAATGACATGGCGTTACCGTGGCAGTCTCACTAGGTGTGAAGATAAAGAGGTCTCCTATGGTATCACCAAACTTAATTGCCAATAATACTGCTTAGGAAAATTCATTGAAGTTGAATGGACCTGGAGAAGATGGAATGGGGATATTAAAAGTGGGAGGGAGGAACTGTACAACCCCTACTTCTTTTATAAGATGCATAACACAACTTGCTTCCTTTCCCCAAAGTTTTATCAATTCATAGATGTTGCCTATTTACCTGCTTTTATTACAAGAAACAGAAGTGGGACAGAGGGCATTGCCAAAGCGGATAGGGTTAAATATCTGTTCTGTAGAGAGGCATGAAACATACCCTGCTGAGAATGACAAAATACTTGCTTGGTTGGATTCTCTGGATTTGTATCCTTCTCTTCAGTGTAAAACAATTCCCAGGGGGCTTACAAAAGCGTAAGGTACTTTACATTTGCATTCATATTCAAAACCATCAGCACTACAATCTCTCAAAGATCAAACATAAAAAGAATGGTTCTAAGTATTAGCACAACTAAAAAATAAATAAGAGCTAGATTTCATCTCCACTGCATGCTAGACTTCTGTGTTGCTACAGGTCATAAGGTACACCCAGCCTAGTCCAAGATGAGAATACAACCCACAAATAAGGAGCATCATCCGGACACCTCGCTAGAAAGTACCCTGATGCAGAAGGTCAGCTGTGCCCGCACATGAAGGAAAAACTGCCATTGCCCAATTCTATATTGCCCATCAAAAGGTACTCTGAGAATGTCTAGATATTAAAATGGCTATTTCATGATTTTATTGTCAGACAATGAAATAAAATCGCTTTTACAACCCGTAAAATAAAAATGAATTATACAAGGTTCCTTTCCCCGAGACTGACTAAGAAAGATTGTGCTCTTTTGGTCAGTGTACTTCACACTAAAAGAAAATAAATGAAGTGTAGGGGGAGACAATCAACAGCAAACACTTTTCTAAACATTTGTTATATAACAAGGTCATCCTAAGAGACTGGAAAGGACACAATCTTCCCCTAATTAAGTAGCTCCTGCAAAAACTCTTTCTTTGTGATGCTTCCAAGATTTTATTTGGAGGGCAATAAATTTGCAGTGCATATTCATTCTGCTCCTATTATAAAGCATAATTAGAAGAACAAAGGTTAAGACCAACGTTTTATCCAGAAAGATCTTGTGCCAGTACTACAGTTTCCTCAGGCACTGGTGACTAGTCAAGATTAATTAGTCTGATGACCTACAAAGGATATTTTTCTCCATTTCCATTAACTGTGCTTGGCAATGCCAAGAGTCAACAGTTGAAAATGAGTCAGACTTTACTTTCTTCATCGCTGCCTTCAAAATTCTAACTTGTCTTCCTAAGATTATATCAAAGGGATAGATGAATATGAATTATGTCTTTTCAAGAGACTATTATAAGAGGAAAATAATTAACAAGGTATGTTACAAATGGATTGCACATGCTCTGCATACAGAAAGTTCCATGTTCACTTCCTGGCATCTCCAGTTAGAAGGAACAGGTGGAAGTGATGGAGAAAATGCCTGCCTGGGACTCTGGAGAGCCACAGCTAGTCAAAATAGCTAGCACCAGGCTAGGCAGACAAATTTGGCCCCATCTACACTATACATTTAGAGCAGCATCATACTTTATGTGGACCCTCCACAAGAGGTCCAGAGGGGGGCAACACAAGAATGGGCCTCTTCTTCAGTGGCTCCCCATTTGTGGAATGCTCTCCCCCAAGGAGGCTCACATGGCACTTTCATCACATATCTTTAGGCACCAGGCGAAAGCAATCCTCAATAACCAGACCTTTGGCTGATTACAAATGTGTTTATTTGAGAGAATTATTGGCTTTTCTGTTTGTTTTTTGTTATGTTATGTATTTAGTAGTTTCATTTTGTATTTTTATGCAGTTTGCCATGTGAACTATGGACGAAGGTTGGTACAGTGGTAACTCTGGTTACATACTTAATTCATTCCAGAGGTCCGTTCTTAACCTGAAACTGTTCTTAACCTGAGGTACCACTTTAGCTAATGGGGCCTCCCGCTGCTGCTGCGCCGCCATCGTGTGATTTCTGTTCTCATCCTGAAGCAAAGTTCTTAACCTGAGGTACTATTTCTGGGTTAGCGGAGTCTGTAACCTGAACCATATGTAATCTGAAGCGTATGTAACCCAAGGTACCCCTGTATATAAATTAAAAAACTAAATAAATAAATACCACTTTAAACAATCATGGTTTCTCCAAAGAATCCTGTGAACTGGAGTTTGTTAAGGGTGCTAAACGTTGTTAGGAGACCCATGTTCCCCTCACAGAACTACAATTTTGGAGTAGTTTAACAATCAGTTGCTCTCGAACTCAGGATGCAAGGGAGAAACGTGCTAAAAGGAAGGCATGCTTTTCAAATCCACACCGTGATCACCTCCCACCCGGAAACCAATGTCCCCACTGTGGAAGGACGTGTGGATCCAGAATTGTCCTCCACAGTCACTTATGGACTCATTTTTAAAACCATGTTTATGGAAGACAATCTTACTTGGCTACGAGTGATTGCCAAAGATGAAGAAGCAGCTCTTCCCAGGGAATTCTGGGAATTGCAACTCTCTGATGAGAATAAGTGATCTCTTAACTAATTCAAAATTAGTCAGAATGGTTGTATGCTATGTCCCTTCCTCACCCATTGAGAAAGAATGGGCTACTCACCATAATTTGGCTCTTCAGAAATTTCACTCAAAAGTAAACATAAGGTGGCATGAGACTTTGCATGGTATGTTATGTAGATTCCCCTGTGGCACCTCAAAATGATGTTTCATGCAACCTTTTCAAAGAAAATACCCCAGTAAGGCTCAGCATGGCGTTCTTTTTCTCCAAAGCAATTGTCCACCATTTCCTCCACACACCCCTTTCTTATCTAGGCTGTGCATTCTGCCATTTCAACTGCAGAGCACTACTGTTGTGCTGTGGCTGAACAGGAAATCATGCCAATGCACAGTTCAAGCTAGTATTACTTTGGTGCTTGGAGCAAAAGTCAGGTTTTTGCCTCACTGTTTGAAAAGGTCCTAGAAGGGTCTCTGGGTCCCTGTTCCCCCCAGGAGCAGCATTTTCAGCTTTGAAGGATTTTCACAGATTATTTTCTCCCTTTTTAATGCTGCCTTTTCCAGGAAGCTAAATAAACTTTGAATAGGTTTTGAACCCTTTGGCCATGCTTTATGTTTACTACGTCTTGTTCTTCAGGTAGGAAAATTGGAACAGAAGTTGTATGTAAGAACTAGCCAGCCTCCTCTGAGGCCTACAAAGGTTGCTCCTGACAGTGACATACAGCGTGGTAAACAAACCTGTCTAGATTTGAAGGCGGCTGCAGGGCTTGGTTTAACCACCGTGTACTACTCAGAAATGACAAATGGAGATGTGGAACCAGAAAGAGTTATGCGGCAGGGGCAAGGAAACTAGTTGCTTGCCACTTAAGACATTTCCCCAGCCTTTCATCCCTGAGCATTTTACCTAAATCTAGCTCATGTCAACAGTAAAATGAGCACTGAGGCTTTACAACACAATCTTGGTGCTTATTTGCCTCTAATGACAGCACAACATTTGCAGCAGAATCTGTTTGCTCATAGAAATCTTTTTTGGCAGATTGGATTTGGCTAATCTGAGGCAAAGAAGGAACAGATTTCACAACCTTGCAACTAATAACATTCTCAATCTCATTTATAATATTGTAGAAACACTTCATTTAAACTGCATAGCTGTTTCATTGGTCTTCAAAATACATTAAATTAGCATTGACATCAATGCAGAAAGAAATTGGGATTCCTCTTCTCTTTCACGGTTAATTCATTGAAAGAAGCATGGTCTGAATTATATTTCTCATCTCTTTTATTGCTCTGCACTTTATTCTATATTTTATTGCAGTTTTGTTTCTCTACATTGGTACCAATGTATTCTCTCTCTCTCTCTTTCTCTCTCTCTTATGATCCATTAATATCTTTGAAGTTTGAAGGTTCTACAAAAGTTCTAAACATGTAGGGATTCCCAGACCCTTCTAGGAAAGTGCCCTTTACACTTAAGAAAACAGGGAAGCCATCATATTCAGCAGATCTATTTTGGTATTACAAGCCTGATTCATACTTTACCCAGATTATGTGGTAGGTCCCAAGAAATTTATTCCATATGGTGGGACTCCAGAATGCAACCATAGCATATGCATTTGCTTATTTTCCACATTTTATATTCTGCCCTCCAACAGAACTGCATTCTTAGGGCACCTTATAGAAAAAATGAAATACACAATAAAACAAGCACAGGACAACAATACACAATAACCACAGAGCAGAAGAACACAAAATAAAGCACACTGCCCAGAACTGTTTAAAAAGGCTTTCAAAGCCTGGGAAAATAAAAAGGACTTTTCTGTGTAATGGGGCAAGCCTTCCTGTGGAGGGTATTCTAAAGATGGCTCCTTCTCCATTCACCCACTTTAGAAGGTAAGGGACCCAGAGAAGAGCCTCAGATGATGACTTCAGTGAATGGACAAACTGGTACAGGAGAAGATGGCCCAAGATAAGTAGGGTGTTAAAAGGTAAACACCAGCACATGTAACCAAGCTTAGAAGCTGGGCTGAAATTATTTCTGCACAAAAGAGAGATGATTCTGTCAATTGATGCCTGTTAGCTATCTAGCAGCTGTGCTTTGAAATATTTACAAACCCATATACAATGTATTGTCATAGGACTGCTGGTGCTCCTGCGAGACATTCCCATTCGGCCCCAATAACCAATGCAATTGAACCTCACACATGTTACGACGTAAGACAGAGTCTGACCATATAGAAGGTGCTCAGTTTTATGGCTCCACATTCCTTAATTGTTGCACAATTAAGAGGCGCTACCAGAGGCGTAGCGTTGGGGGGGGCGACACATTTTTGACATACATATGAAGTTACATATGAAGCCATTCTAATTTGTCTTTCCCCATCATGTGAAGGCAAATAGTTAAAATGTAAGCTGTCTGTAACATCATGGTGAAATAGACAGAACTTGCCACCTTCTTCTACATCAATAAGCTTTAAAAGTGTCACATTCTTGTTTGCTGACACTTGTAGCAGAATGCTTGCATTTTGCAATATCTGCCAGTATTGGACACACTAAGGGAACCAGGCATGTTATTTGTTGTTGTGAACTCTCCTTTTTATTCTTTACTCATCCTGTTGCCATAGAAATGAATCCAAACACCAAACACTTTTTTCTTCTCCCCGACTTAAAGGCCACTCATTCCATTTAATTCCAGAGATTCGCCATCAATTGTGTGGGAGAGGGGGTGGGGAACTGAAGTAAAACAATGCACTGGGCTGTTTAATAAAAAGAACCTTGATTTGCACAAGGCTGTGAGTGAATCAAACTGAAAAGCCCTGGGAAAAAGGTGAATCTGTGCACCAGAAGATTGCCTGCCTCTCCCTATTATTAGGTACAAAAATAGAATGGCTCTTGTAAATTGCTGCTAACCTCATCTCCAACAAACCTGACAGGAGAAAGACCATGCTGGGTAAGCTATTTTGATATTTAGAAAATTAGGCTTTAAAGAAAAATGTGGTGAGACCTCAAATTTATGCCACAAAGTGAGACAAAAGAAAATAGCTCCCTCATCTGCACAGTCTATAAATGGATACCAAAGAATTTCGTGAGCTAAATTAAATGCAATGTTCAGGGATGTTCTTATGAGATTTCACCACTTTTACCCGCGGTGTTAATAGTGTCGGCATCACTTCACATAAATTATTTTCCTACATAGATTTCATTCTGTAAGAAAACAGACTGTAATAAATGTCGAAGACTCTTTAGCATTTTGCCCACTGAAAATCATGCATATGCTCTTACATGAGATTTATATGGGCCATATTTGCACCATATATTTAAAGCACTATGATATCACTTCAAACTGCAACAGCTTTCCCCAAAGGATTCTGGGAACTACAACTGTTCCTGGACAGGGATATAACCTTGAGACTAGATTACTCAAATGCACTCTATGTGGGCTGTCCTTGGGTCTGGTTCAAAAGCTCCAGTTGGAGCAGAATATTGTGGCCAGATTGCTGATGGGAACTTCTGGTCAAGAACATGTGACACCAATGTTAAAACAGCTGCACTGGCTGCTCATCTGCTACCAAGCATAGGTTCAAGGCTCTTGTATTGATTTACAAAACTCTGAACAACTTGGGTCCTCCAGGTTCTTTTTCCCCTAAGTCCCCCCCCCCCCGGAAAAAATCAGGAAATTTCAGACTTAATCCAATGAGAGTTTCTGAGAGTTACTGCATTTCTATTTATGGCATAGAACAGTTAGTTTGTAAGGGATTGTGGGAGTAATTTAATCCATTTTCTTGTACTGGTCAGGATTTCCATGCCAGGAATGCTTCTTATTCCTCATAAAACAGAAATCTGTATAATTAGACATCAGGAATAAATAGAATGGGAATAATCGAGAGGAATATAATAAAGTTCAACCTGCAACTCACTCCAAGTACTCATCTGCCTATTTCTGTTCTACCAAATGGGAAATGGTATAGAATTACATGGTATTGCCCCAGCAGTAGTGTGTGGCTGGTGTGCCACAAAAGCAGGTTTCTACTATTCTACTCCTGGAGATGATTCTGTGAATTCTTGTTTTTCCGTAGTGGAGTTCCCGTGTCTTTAACAGCTGCACAATAAGAATAAATGAATCTCACACCCTCCAGTCTTCATGCTAGTAAAAGCTGTAGTTGTTGGCTATTTACCTACTGCACAGCTGTTAAATGCACATAGGGTATCTCACAAGGAATATCTATCATCTATCTATCTATCATCATCATCATCTGTTGTGATATTTTGAAGGATGGGATTGAATGAAAGCTGTTCATTTAAGAAAATTAATTCAGGAATGTGCACTGCACATTCATTTTTTAAAGACAGAGAAACATATCCCATAGTAGGTAGCTAACCAAATATACATTACCTGGAGCATGGTTTTGGGATTTGTTGCAAAATATATGTTGACACAGAAAGATGGGCAACAATATCTATGCCATAAACGAAATATTCTGTATTGCTGCCGCAGGACATTGACTGTGAGAATTCTACATTATACCATGCCTAGCCATAAGCAAACTTGCTTTGTAAATTACTGCATTCCTTTATTCCACCACTCACTCATCTGTTTTCAGTATTGGAAATGAGAAATAACTATTAAGGCTCTAGCAATATGTGCCAAGATTTCTATTACGATTTCCAATATTCAGCATTATTACACATTATAAGTACCCAAGCCTACATGTCAAGTTGCCACAACATCTAGTAATGAGTTTGTCTTGTTATTTTTTCTAGAAAGTGTGCTCCAAAAGTATGCTTTGCTAGATATGTTCATTTTTTTAAATCTACATTAAAAATAAACAGAGCTACACATGGCAGTAGTAAATCTACTTCCAAGCTATTTCACGTTCTACTTTGTATAAACTAGGGCTTGGGAGACCAACCAACAGCCATAATAGCAGAAGCAATTGGGTAAGGATGCTTGGGACTGATGGAGAGTAAATGTATAATGAAGGGAACTATTCTTAAAAAAAAAAAAGAACACAGAAAATGGGAACTTTTCTTGAACATTCTCCACTTTCTCTAACAGATATCCCCAATCAGAATTGAATCTGGAGGAGTTTGTCCACCACTGCATGGGCTTTGTCAGGGTTGGGGTTTTTTTTGGGGGGGGGGAGCAAAACCCACATGATTGGTCAGTTAGTTGAGTATTTATATTGTTTTACTTGATCTAAGGGGGGCAACTGCCTCCCCTTTGACCAAGCCCATGCCTTCTACCCTTTTGGAAGATACAGGGGACATGTTTAGCAATAGCTTACGTTTAGAATTTTGAGGAATTATGATGTCACTCACAAAACGGAGGCCGTGGAGGTGTGGCACATGGCAAAATAGTCTAGGAATGGCCCCATCGGCCACCTTCATAAAAAGCCACCTACAGAAGCCACTGCCACTGTTGCTCTTTCTGCTTAGAATGGATGAGACAACAGGTATCAAAAGATGACATCCAGTGAAATGTGGGTAAGGCTGAGCCAATATAAACAGGAACTAAGCAGGAACACCAAACAGCCTCTCATGCATTGTGGATTCTTGAAATGATATCTACTGTGACCTTTCATGGACACAATAGGATGTGTTGATGGGAACATTGGCAATACTGGCTTACTTGTCCTAGATATGGACAGTCAAGCTGTTCACACTGGAATGAGGGTCAAAATCTGCTCCGCATCAGTGTAGGAAGTCCCTGCTCTCTTATTACAATCATGTTCCCATGGGAAACGGAAGCACCCAAAAAACCGGACATTGTAAAAAGTTTAAAACTGTAGCAGAGTCATACATCAAACTCCCATTCAATTTACTCACTACTTTATTGTAGGAATGGTTTCCTCTCAGTTTCTCATAAGCTTGGTTCTCACATTTTCACATCAGTTCGGATTCCCCCTCCCCCATGAACATTCCTGAGAAATTAAGTTCCCATTTCTTCTAATTTACACTTTTTATATGCAATCTTGCATTTTTGAAAATGATTTTTTCTCAATATAATATAATATAATTTCACTAATATATGCATTTGTATGCATATTATACCCTAGTACAAGCTGGAAAACTGCACTGCAAAAGTTAGAGAAATGTGGCTTTTGAAGGATGGCTGTGTTTCAGTTTACATATTATTTCAGAATGTGCAAATTAGGTAATTAGATTCACCTTGAATAGGAAAATGGAACAAATTTCCATTGGCATGCTTAGAACACATGCTTTTTTACTGTTATTTATTGCTCTAGCACTCTCTGTACATAAATTGGATATGGTAAGGAGCTATTACTTTGCTTAATTACTTCTTCCTATTTTCTGTCGTCCCTGAAGACTAAGCACTAGAGGCTTGGGTGTAAAATTATTTCCCCACATTTCCTAATCCCCCCACAACATACTTCCTTATCTCCTGCTCCACTTATAAACACTAATATGCACATCCACTTTCAACCATGCTGAGACACAGGCAAAGGACCTTTTCCCCTGACTTTGCCAGCATAAAAAGCAACCAGTGATGGACTTGGGGCTCTCAAATTTGGCTGATGCTAAAATTTGGCACCCCTGTCTCTCATGCTCTGTTTTACAACATTGTTGTGGCACCCCCTGCAGCGTGGCACCCATACAGCTGCACTGGTCATGCTACGCTAAGACTGCCTCTGCAGCAACAAATGCCCTATAAGAACTTAAGCTTCATGTACCTCACTTTAACAGATCACTGCTGTGTGCAAGTCAACACAAAGGAAATTATACCTAATACTTACTACATAGGAAAATATTACCAAGTTGTATTACGTAGAAAACTTCCTTGCTGAAATCTGCACATTTGATTTATTAGAAGGACATTTTACTATTTGTCAGGATCAATATTGGTGCCAACACTATCACACACAGAATATCTAGTTGGGTCATTTTTCTATATAACTGTGATTAGTATTGTTTCAAAGCTGCATAAGGCATATGATGATGACTTCTGTGGTGATACTCTACAATGTTGCTATCAATAATGAAGCCAACATTAAGGGAAAATGATGTGAATATGGAGATTAACCTGCATGAGGAAATTTCACAGGTACTTTATTATAGTTTCAGAACTCAATATGGGAATTAAATGAAAAGCATAATATGAACAAAAGGTATTGTACCAAATAGGGGCAAAACTAGATGATACATTAAAGGTGCACAAGTGCAACCACACATTTACCTTTTGTGAAGCCCTGTTCCATGCCCAATAAGTGTTGGACACCTTTGCCCGATGGCATTGTGGCCCATAGATTCCAGCAAAGTACTACGCAAGGTTTTTGCCCAGTATCCTCTCTGTGTGATGGCCTCATGGGAAAAAGTTGTCCCATGAGCCCTTGCTGCGGGGGGGGGGGGAATCCTATATAAAGCTGCTTCCCCTGGAGCTCACAGCCATTTTGCTTTGAGAGCTTCCTGCCCACCCTTGGGTTAGAGCCTTCACTGAGCAATTTTGGGTTGCTGGTTGACAGGGCCAGAAATGAATTTTCCCCCCACTCAACCTGATTGACGCTTGGTTGGGTATTTTTCCGCCTTTTCCTCAGTGAAATTATGGCTTTCCTTTGTTAGGAAGAAGGAAATTGTTTGTATGAGGGTTGAAATGGCATTGGGCAGGATTAGAATAGTATAAGGGGCCCCCATAATGTCAGGAGTCCCAGTTTCTGACTTGATAACACAGCAAGTGTGGTTAATTAAAAAGGAAGATTTATTGCAAAAACAAACAGAGTTCTCTAACATGCTGCCAGCCTCATCAATCATGATGACCCTTCTGAGCTTCTCGTCCAGTTACAGAAGATATCAAACTTTCTCACTTTGCACCTTTTGCCTTGTTTCCGGTCTAACAGGCCTATCCTTAGGAGGGACTGGCTCAGCTCCAAACCCTTCCTGTTCTGACAAACTGCTTCCTTCTCTGTTCGCGCCAGTAGAGCATTGGCTGGGTTCCGACTCGCCCTCAGCCATTCTCTTATCAACTGGCATTCCAAGGGGCAGGGGAGTTGGCACTCGCTGATGCTCATCCTGCCGGGCAGCTAACCCTCTCTGTTCCTGGTAGCTTTCTTCAGCTGTGATCTGGTTGTAAACCTTCACTATGATCTGGTTGTAAACCTTCACTGGGGTCTGGTTGCAAACCTTCCCTGGTGGCTGGCTCATTCATGACACATAAGGGGCCTCAGGGGAGGATTGACCATAGCAAACCTAAGTTTGGGTTTGGTATCTGCCTGTTTGGAATCTACACCCTAATCCCCCAGTAAGACCTTGCTTGCTTGGCTTGCACCACAGCAATGGCCGACTCTCAGGGTACAGGTTTGGAACAGTCCAAAACCAGGAGATCCATTCCCTCAACATCGGGCTTGTGGAATGATGAACTGATCCTGGGACCCAATGCCATGCTACTTTTCTTAATGTCTGGATTGTCAATTCATGCAGCCTTGTAAGGATCCTGCTTTGACTCAGACTCCAAATCCTTTCAAGGAAACCAGTAGTGGCTAGAAATTAATCTGAATCTGATGTATACAGCCCAAGAAAACATTTCTTTGGTTCAGAAAAGGGAACGTATTAGTATGGACAGGGTATTTATCCTTTATTCAAGGATACTTCAGAGATCTGCTTTTCATTAATTTTAATTTAGATAAACCCAACCGATACTGTCATGATCAGTTGCCAAGAGACTTCCCAAAGCTACAAATCTCTGAATTCCCCTCCCCCCCAGCTTCCCATTTGTGTGATGATGTGAAGATACTTCTAACTGCACAGAAGAAAGTTATGCAGGAGCTGCAAGGAATGAAAGACAGGCCATTAAAGGCTCTCCCATGAGGATAAAAGTAGACAAAAAAGAACCTACATTTTTATTCTTTATGGGAATAGGAACCTTGTACCTCAGAAGATGAAATTGGAAGGGAGCTATCAAAAATACATTCGCCCAGGCAAGTCATCCATAAATTCTAACTAGTATCAATGGAGTTCACTCCTTGAAGTGCAGTAAGAAACAGTGAAACATGGAAACACTCCTATAACTCTTTTTCTCTGCTTTGAACAGAAGTGAGAGTTCATGCTGGAACTCACAGATCAAATACCTTTTAATTTGAACAACCTGGACCCTTAATCTGTAAAATCTGCTTTTGGGTATATTTCTAACTTTTTTAAAAAGTCTGTCTAAGATTAGGATTCATTTCCCCAACAACAAAATAAAGGAGAAACATCACACACTCTTATTTATCGTTCTCAGAAAGCTTTTTTTTAAAAAAATTCAATTTTCCTTGAAATAATGCATTTTTGTATTTTCCTTTCATATATGCATTTTTAAGAGCATTTTATTTCATTATGTGAATTTTTGTACAATCTGCTCGCCTGAGGAACAGGTTTGCAAAATTCAGAAAAATGCAAATTTGTAAGGACGGCTTGTGCTTCAGTATTGAAAGTGATTTGCATTGAGAGAGAAAAGCTTCTGTGGAGGGGTTGGAGGAAGGCAAGACGTGGGCAAGGAGAGCCCCATAGTAGTTACCAATGCACCAATTTTGCCCCTGTAGCTTTCCTACAGGAATTTCCCAGAACAAATAATAGAATTGTAGAGTTGGAATAATCGCTGGCATATAATCGACAGGGCTTCTGGGCCTTTTTTAAATAGTAAAGTCCCAACAACCATGGCAAATTGTAATTCCCAAATATATTTCTGTTGGGTATTACTGGTAAAGCATTGTGACCTAATTAATCCCTTCATTCCCCAGTCACTGATGCTGGAAGGACCCTCATTGCTGCTGGAAGGTAAATTTTGAGAAGAGGGAAAGTCCAGGAATGCTCACAAGCAGGGAGAAGACAAATGGAGGACATATTAAAAAGACTGATGGGGAAGAATTCAGAATAGGCCAAGTCCTTGAAATATTTCAGGGAATACTCGAGAAAAAATCCAACCCATTTCTGTGGAGTCACTGAAAATGCTTTGAAAGAATAAACCAATTGCAACTGAAATGTGGGGCAGAGAAAGTTTTCCCACCAACACTCATTGAACCACCAATACTCTCTGAACCCTCTTCATTTTCAACAGTAAAAACCAATTGCTTATCACATCATCGCTAGTCCTAAATTGTTGCACAGTGATATGGCACTGGGAGATTTTAGATTAACCATATTTCAAAATCAAATACTGTAATGGAAAATAATAAAATTATTTAAAATACCAGATATGCATCTAGATACAGTGTTCAAATCAGGGTCTACTAGAATCTGAATACAGGCACCTAGAATAGATTGTGGTTTCCAAGGGGAAACCTTTTAACGCATGAGAAAGTGGCAAGCATTTGTATTCCTCCTTACTTTTGAGAACTCAAAATCAATTGCAGGTCACACACCACTAGTTAAAGACAAAGCTCCCCTCTTTCCTAATATAATCCCCTGAGTTGATCTTTGGTCAAACTGTGAAAATAATTTTATGTTCCAGCACTTCATCCTAGCTTTAACATTTAGCTGGATATATTTATGTTCTGCTATGAACATCACAATGAACTGAGTATGTTCGCCTACACATTCTCTCTGCTTAAATTAAACCTGTGGAAATGGAGAGCAACAGGTTACCTCCATTTGAGAGAAAAAATCTGCTCTTGGAATGTCAGAAAATAAAAAATCTCTGGGTGTGTGTGGGGGGGAACCATTCAAATCTACACAAATTGATCAAGATTGCCTACTTGTGTATTATTTGTAGTCCTGAGGAATTTGATATTATTCACTTAAATGTATTATTACTTACAAAGTAAAATGTTGCTCCTGGGAACTCTGTTGTTTCTAGCATGGCAAGATGTAAAAGCGGAAGAGGGCTTCTGCTTCTTTAATAGTACTGCTGAAATATCCTCTGCCCTCTACCTTATGTCCACCAAAGGCATGGTTGTAAGTCATTGCTGAGTGAGGTGGAGAAGCAGAAAGCACCGGCAGGATCAGGATCAGGATCTTGCATTTTTCCCCAAGGACATTTAGAAAGGCAATTGCTAGAGACTGAACCCCCTACTTTACCAAAGATAAAGCATGTCAATATCATCTCTGTAAGTTGTATGTCTTGACTCCTGCAGAGTGAACAAAGATCAAAGGACTAAGTCAGCCATACACTAACAAAGATGAAATGGAGAAATTGGTTTCATTCATGCTATTTTCAGTTCTTATCTTAATCATTGTCAAGGGAAGATTCAGAGTGTACTATTTTCTGTCTCGGGCTTTGTTATGAAAATGAGACTACAGGAATTTAATCAGTACAGCTTGCGGAAAGTAGTGGCTGATCATTCTGCAATTTCTTTTAATGTTTATTACTGGATGTTCCTGGAGCTATTAAAAGAAAAGCACAACTGGACGGAAACCAGAATAGCTATAAAATATAATTAGAAGAACCCAAGAAATCACGCACTGGGGATGCCATTTTTATGGCCAAATATAGGCGCTTACTACAGATGACAAAGTAGTTATTTTTCAATTACACTAACTTGTTCTCCCGATAATGTACCTAGGCAGTTGCGTATGATAGCTCAGCGATTCAGAATGGCAAAATCTCAAGATGAGTTTGGGTGAAAATAGTCCCCCCCCCACATCACCATCATCATTCATTCAGAGGCTGTAGCTGTCTAGCAGTCAGCTTAGCACATGGGACACCATTCGCCCCCATCCCTGTACAGTGGTGCCCCGCAAGACGAATGCCTCGCAAGACGGAAAAACCGCTAGACGAAAGGGTTTTCCGTTTTGGAGTTGCTTCGCAGGACGAATTCCCCTATGGGCTTGCTTCGCAAGACGAAAATGTCTTGCGAGTCTTGAGATTTTTTTTCCACTTCCCCCCCCTTTATCTAAGCTGCTAAGCCTTTAATAGCCTTTTAGCAGCTAATCCGCTAAGCCTTTAAGCCTTTAATAGCCGCTAAACCGCTAATAGCGCTAATCCGTTAAGCCACTAATAGGGTTGCTTCTCAAGACGAAAAAACCGCTAGACGAAGACACTCGCGGAACGGATTAATTTCGTCTTGCGAGGCACCACTGTAGAAGGAATGCAAGGTAAACATTGCCTTTAAGCCACCACCTACATTGCCTACTAAAACAAGTTTCACAGTGACTGGAAGGAGGGCTCATCCAACAGGTTGGAGGGGAGGAGGCTGTGGCCTTTACCTTTAAGAATAAAAAAACCAAGACAGCCCTGAGTCTCAGTAGCATAAGATTTTCCCAAGAACATAGGAAGCTGCTTCGAGTTCAGTATTGTCAACAATGACTGTCAGTGGTTTTAGGCTGGTGTTTCTCCCAGCCCTAACTGGGGACACCAGGGATTGAAGCTGTCAGCTTTTGCATGCAAAGCATGCACGCCACCACTGAGCTGTGGTTCTTTCCCTGGAGTGCAGTGACAGAAGTACTCCTGGTATTTTTGTTACTATTTCCCGTCCCCTCCTATTTGTGTCAACCTTTACAGGAGCACTAATTTGCAGTGCTCCAGAAAAGGTCAGAATTCGACTTCATATTCGCCCTTATCCAAACCACTACTCTGCTCAGGCACTGATCCAGAACCTGTATGGCCCCACCTGATTCAGATGCAACAAACAGAACTGATTGTCAACAACATTTTTTTTTACCATGAAAATGGAACTTAAAGAAACTTAAGCTCGGTCCTGCTTTTAAAAACAGGAACTTTATTTATCCAGACCTGGCTTACAGACATTATTATATAAACATCTGTACATCACACCCCTCTCTAAATGTTGTTGTTTTGTATGTAATTGCCCTTTGGTCTCTATTACATAGATGCCATTGATTTCTGAATGTTTATTGCCAAGCTTAATCCAACTACCATTTAAATGACAACACTTATACAGTTGTCTCTTAGGGATGAGCTGACATGAACCAGATTCACCCTACGTCTGGCCGTTATCTAAACGGTTTGAGTGTGAATGACTGAGTGCAAGAGCTGTGTGCTTGAATGTGCTGTATGTGCACAGTGAGGATGGGGGGGGAGGATGGAGAGACAAGAGGAATTCTAGCAAGTGGGAGTTAGAAAACTGGGTGGGACCTCTGCTCTGTGTGTCTAACTGTCCACATGTGCAGCTTGCAGTAGCATGTGGCCCTCAGAGGCGAATCGTTCCTAAGTGTGCCCCAAGGCATAAAAAAGGTTAGCTAGCCCTGGTCTAAGGTCAGCATAGAGAGAGGTGCTCTTACCCAATCCTTCCCTCTCATATTGTGATGTGACCAACAGCCAGGTTCATTTGTAACATGGCGTTTCCACTTTATGCAACTGAATCATAGGGGTTATGGCCATCCAGTGTTTTATTCAGCCCTGTTAGAATCCCTGCATGCTCCTTCCTGTTCCATTCTTCAGCCAATTAGTTCTATAAAAACATCGTTTACCCGCATGCCACCTACTATTACATACTGGGCCTTTCTTCACCACCGGTTTTCTTTCTGACTGGGTAGTAATCCTCTAGGACCATTTCTGTTCATCACAAAGCAACTCAACTTCAGAAGTTGTGACTGCTCACCGAGATAACCATTTGGGCTTTTTTATTATTACCCTACAGTACTTGTTACTAAAATAGGAACTATTCTACCCAATAAAATATTGAATAATATAATTGCAGAAACTTATCTTCTCTGACACATACCACTCTTTCATCAACCCACAGGTCTCTTTTTAAAGTAATGAGACCTTTTGAAGTTCAGAAAATGAGGCTCTATTTTTAAAGTTGTTTTTGAAGCAGTCCTAATACACCCTATTCCATAGGCTACTTTACCGTATCTTCTTCTAAAGTCTGTCGCCTTTCCCTTGTCTTTGTACAATTCCAGGAGATTTTGTTGTTGTGTTTAGAGCACAAAAGACTATTAGTGCCAAAAATGTGAAGGATCTAAAACATGATAATTATTCCTGGAGTGGAAAGAAATAATGCTGTTGCAGTCAGGACCTCGAGATATGAAATGAGTTCTTGTTTTGCTTCTGATAAGAGGGAAAAGAGGATGTATTTCCTAGAGCTCTATCAAATGATTACAAATTGAGCTCACTATTTGGAAGCTACGGATCTAAACACAAGTCCTGCTGTGTATTTTGTAATCTATATTTTTACCTTTCAAAGTCATCTTTGATTTCACAACACTGGCAGGATTTGCTAGTATAAGTAATTGAAATGCTTGTGTTTTAACAGACGTTCCAATGATATTTCCAAGCTTTCTAGCATCTGCTAAAGATAGCTTCTACTAAAGATATACTTTCCCTCCTACGAATTACCCTCATTTTGGTCTATTATCCTAGTTGATTTGTACTTGACTAAAAAATAGCTGTCAAATTCCCCACCCCAAACACACATGCTGTTCTGAGCAGTTCTGAACCTTCACAGGCAACCTGCTACTTGACTGAGCAAAGATTATATGCCTTTACTTGACAGGACTTTTTTTGTATATAAAAAAAGTTCTTAAACTTTAATTTTTCTTTTTCATTATTAACCTGTTTAAACTTGAGAAATATTGCTTTCTTTGCTTAAACAATGAAATCCAGGTTACAACTAAACAATGAATTTCTGAAACCAAGATACAGTTTTCTTACCTGTGATCCCCAATATGACTGATTTGAAGCTCCAAATATGTGTTCATATTATGTTAGCAAGCAAAGGCTCTTCTTCTTAAACCAGGTAAGTAAGTATCTAACCCTATTGGGGGACACTAATTAGAAAACACAAGAGTTAAGATGTAATACCTTGGTACAATGAGATATTAGCTATACGGATCAAGTTTAATATAAAAATGAATTCTTTTTTGTTGTTTTTCAATATTTCAATGAGTTCATAGACAGCAATCCAGTCATGAAGAAAGGATTAATGACAAGTTATTAAGAAAAGAGACTTCTGGGATCATAATACAAACCTATTTCGTCTCAAATAGTCATGACACTATATGTTCAGGATCTCCCTTTTTATCACAATTTCAGGTGAGGAAACATTTCCTGCTTCTAGTTATGTGCTCTAACTCTGAAATAGAATCATGGGAGACACACAAATGTCCACTTAATAAAAGGAGAAATGCTAAAGACATAACTTAGTAGGAGAGCACATACGATGGTGTATAAAAGGTCATTGTTTCAATCTCAGGGATCTCAAGTGAAGATCTGGTACAAGGCAACTTTCAGTGTTCCTCTATGGACCAACAGTCTTCTTCATGACAGGATATCTCTTTCTATTTATAGCGAACACAAATGGTTCTTCCTTCTACATCTTTTTTGTAAAAGCAACTGCATGAGCATGTTGCACACTAGCCTCAGGCTCTTTCCAAAAGATGTGTATCAATAGAGACATTTGAATTGAAAGTAATAGAATATGATGGTCGATGGAAAGGAATGAAGCCTTCATGTGTCAGCTGATGCCACCAATCGAAACCCAAATTGCACTGCTTGAGAAGGCTAGAGAGTATTCATGGTTGCTGACATTGTACGGATATGGAAGGGGAGGAGGACGTGGAAGGCGTACAAGTTTTGCATGAGCAGATGCCAGCTAAGATGTACCATCAGCAGGTGGGCGATGGAGTGTGAGCTACAGCTGTGTTTGCTTTAGCGTTCATTTTATTTTGAATTATTTATAAAAAGCACCAGCAGCAATTTGGAATTTATTCAACGACATGCCCTATCAATGATTAGCTAATTTCTCTCCTGCAGACAAGTTTGATGGGAAGACGTGAGCTAGATAGCAGACAGGTGCTGAGTACTGCTCTGCTAGTTGGTTGTCACTGCTGTAGCATTAATGTAGGATGGAGGGACATGTTACACGGAAACACTGACTGAACTCTCTCTCTCTAATAGCAAACTGCAGAGCATCACAGCACTTAAAGAAGCACCTCAGGCAGCACCACTGGAGGTAATGTTATAAAAGAAATCAAAAGAATTGCTACAGAAACTGTATCTGCCTCGTGAAGTGGGATTTGTTGTATTGTGTAAAACAGCCCTGGTTTGTTCTTGAAGCCTTGACTTGTTTTATATAATACTGAAGTAAGGAATACCACCAACAGAATTTGAAGCTTTGTCTGATAGCTGGCAGTTGTGACATGATCCCTTCTTTTTTCTCCACTTGCAGCATATGGTCTCTGGGGCTTCACTCACAAGCATTCAGTGACCAACTCATCATTTTTGAATCACTGATGTAGTAGAGAGCCAGTAAGATTTATCTGACTGAGTACAGTACACCGCTTTACATGATAGCCCCAAAATGTAGGTTATTTATTAGGGCTGTGCACAGATTGGGGCTTCAAGTTGTACATCCAGAATGGGCCTGATCCAGTCTGGACTAGTCCAGACCTGTTCGACCCTGGACTGTGTACAATGTACTTGCAGCACATGCATACATGTGACAAGTACTAATAAAGACAAGAAACAGAAAACTGAACACAGCTGTAAAAAACTTGAGCCCAAATTTGGGGGAGGAGACACAGACAACAATTTTGTTTATGTTTTAGTAAGAATGGAACTGGGATGGACTAGGTAAGGTTTGGAAACCTTACACATTCCAAGAGGCAGAACTAGGAGAGCATTGGGTGGGGTGGTGACATTCTAGGCTGGCTCTGAAGCTCTCATTAAGGAAGGCCAGCTCCTCCCCTCTATGCAGTTATGGAGCACCTATATGTCTACAACAGTATGCATAGCTGAATCTTGCTTATATGCCTTGCTCAACACATAGGGGGGTGCAGGCAGTGGGACCACCAATGCTGGTAGCTGGGCAAACAGGTATGACCCTGCTGTTACTCCACCTGTAAATCATATGTGTGTGGTTTAATCTGTGTAGGGAAATCTGTGTTGGACTTGAATTTGTATGGTCAGGAGATGAAGAAGATTTCCATGGATTTACTGGGCACTGTTGCATAGATCCCTTTTTCTCCGTCTCAAAGGATCATTATGAGAGTACATGCAAACAAAAGTGTAGTAAGCCCACAATTTATGTGCATTTAACCTGTGTGCATTCAGCTTTACGCACTGGGCAATAAAAATTAAATAAAATTTAAAAACAGGAGAAAATGAGGTGGGCATCCAGGGAGTAAAGACGATCAATGGGCTGTAACCTCCATGTAAGTTTTGGGCTTACTGTAGTACATAAAGTGCAGGGAGCTGTTTCCTGTCCTCCACATCTGTGTATTGTTTTGGTTTAGATTGCAAGTTTTTATTACAAGCAAAATATTTTTTTTTATAAAGGTAAAACATTTCTAGACATAAGACTACAAATGTAGGCCTTGCTTCCTTGTGCTTTGTTACAAAGTCCTGCTGACTGGTGTCCACCACTTCTGACTAACATTTCCTCTCCAGTTCTTAAAGAGACAATGAACTATTCCCACAATCTGGTGGGTAAAAAATAATGTGCCCAGCAGCAGAAGGAAAGCAATCCCTTTTGGCAATAGCTTGTCTCTTTATTTTGTGCCTATTGACAGGTCCCCCCAACTTTCTCCAAAGAGGGGCCATTTTGACTCAGCCCCATGCAGCTGAACTCATACTGTAAAGAAAGAAGCAGTCTTCAATAAATTGCTACAATGGATTCTGCCTTCTTATGACTTGCTCCATTTATAGTTTTCTGTTTCCTTCTCGTTCTGGTTACCTTCTTGTGATTCACACTTTGTCAGCTACTGCAACCGCCAACAGTGATGCTATCTAAGCAGAATGCAACATTGCACTAAATTTAAAGAGACAGACTACTCAGTCACACTTACTTTGGTGAGAATCCTGTCTCTTCCAGATTTGGAAATGGTTGTGAAAGATCAAGGAGCACAAAAACCCTCCTTTTTATAGATTGAAAGCCCCTTTCTCAATGCATTGCGAAATCTTACGACCAGATTTTCTAGTCTCAGAACATTTATTGGGAAGTTAGTTTCATTGATTTCAAAGTAATTTATTTTCCTGAAAGTGCTTGGGATCACAGACGTGCAATACTAAAATTTGCTGTATAAACCAAATTATGATTGACCTCCCCCCCCAAAAAGACGAAGAAATTACACATAAAAGTGATACAATAAATGATATATCAGAAAATAAAAATGTTTAAAGTATTGCAGAGAAATAGATATATATATATATTCTTGTGTGTGTGTTTTACTATGGTGGTCACAAGAATAAGAGCCATGTTGATTCCAAACTACTCCAGTGCATGAATGCACTGAAAAGCATGCATGCCCTTCTACATTTATTACCCCAAATGGGCTTTTAGTGTTCCACCACAGATCATTCTAAAATGCAGGCTATACACACTATCAATTCAGCAAAATGACAAGGAGATGGGTTGCAGCTTCAACATCCTAAGGTATATATGGTCATGCACAAACATGTACATATCTTGTTTACTCGCCCTGAGCTCTGGAGTATACCAGGGAGCCAAAAGGGGTCCACAAAGTGAGAGAGGATGCTTGGGGCGATTGGGTCAATGACCTGAGCCATTTGGATGTTCCATAGGTTGACCAGGGCTTTGACAAGAGTGCCTATCATAGCAGCTGGAAAATACCACAGAGCCATCTGGAAACCCACTGGATGCATAAGCGTTTGACGGTTGAGCATCTTAATAGGTCCCCTGCCTGTGCAGAATAAAAGGTGCTGAAAGCCTAAATCTCAACAGGAAGTGATCTTACCATGACAAGGGACTGGCATCAATACCCCACTCACTTCCAGATCACCTTCTTCCTGCCCAGTTGAGAAAACAAGGTCCAGAGTGTGGCCTGCCATAAGCATTGAATCGGTGACATATTGGGATAACCCCACTGTCACCATGAGCCACTCCAGAGCCAGTTGCCTTGGCATGGATGTTGATTGCTTGTATCTCCTTTGTAAATAATAGTAGGCAAGTTTAGACACCAAGAAGAGAGGGGAATTGAGTCTGTATCTTTTTATTATACCTTTGGTGCCAACGCTTTGATTTAGAGGATAGTTTCAGGCTGAACACATTGTACTTCTCTAGGGCATTCTGTGTTATGTATGGGTCTCACATCATGGCCTACTAAGGCATTTAGTGATACTCAGGCCTCTCTTTCTGAGCAATATTGAATATAAATATAGAGCAGAGAATGTAGATACTTTGGAATAAAAACAGTAGATAGCAGGAAAATAGCCTCCTGTTCCCCATTCAGGAAGAAACAAAAACACGGAGATTCACAGCAGACAACAATCAATTATTGGGACACAGTGGGAGCTAAGAAAGAAAACCCTCACTCTGCTCTTTCCTCAATCTCTTCTCATGACCAAGATTGTAACATGAATAGGAAATGGCATGAGTTTAACCTATGCTCATTGCAACCCTTCAGATGCAATCTTGTGTTCTGTTTTCAATGCTGAAATGCATGTAATACTTTAGGGAAGGACACTTTCAAGTATAGTCCTCTGTGGAGATGCATTCTGATTATTGTTCAGACCATTTCCCCCCCACAGCTGTAGGTATCATTTGGTTATACATTTTCCAAAAGTGCAGACTTCTCTTTGTTCTCCTTTGTAGCAAAGCCCACAAAGCTATTTTAAAGATGTATTCATTGCCCTGCCCTAGATGCACAAGACTAAATCAATTTAGCTTTACCCATGATTTCATATAATGCACAATTTATCATTCCAGGATCATATAGCTTTATGATCACTTCTATAGGGCAGTAGAGGCCCACATAGAATAGTCTGTATCCCCCAAATAAGCACAGCTTTTTGCTGTCCTGGGTGTATGTAAACTGTTCATTAATTAATCACTTTTGATAGTTCGCATTTGTTTGCCTTAAATATCCAGCCACCTAAGTGACAAAAAAAAGAGGTGTAAAGCCCAAAAGAACTCAAACAAAAGGTAAAGCTTTAGGGTCTAATTTCGTATTGGGAGCTACGGTTGGATTAAATGACATGAATGATTGATTATAGCCTAATATCTATTTGTCTCAGAAGGCTGGTATCTTTTATTCATTTTTAAAAAAGTGTGCATAATTTATGAAAAAATGCAGCTTTCCTTCTGCCCTGTCCCCACCTTTTTTTTGGGGGGGGGGGTTAACATTTTTCTTCAAAGAATCCCAATTTTATCACCAAACTCATTTAATCCCTTGCACTTGATTAGACATAACGCCTACTCAATCCATGTCATACTTCAGTAGCAATTGTGGGGTTTGTTTCCACAAGATGTGGAGATGGCCACCAACTTAAATGGAATTAAAAGGAGATTAGATAAATTGGTGAAGGATAAGGCTCTATCTGAATCACGCTTACTTGTTTTTTAAATTATTTGTCTTAAATCTTTTATCTTATTTTTGTGGTGGTTTGTTGTGTGGAATATTATAGGAGAAAGCTACTGGCCAGGAGTCGGTGACTTTTTATACCTTAATACTGAGTTCACTCAGCCTCACAAACGTTGAGAAATAAGAAGCACCCCCATTTTTTTAAAGAAATGATGCCCACGGAATCATGAATTGCAAATTGAGTGCTGATACAGTCATAGCTGAGAAATGATGGGTGGATAAAGGATGTGGCAAGCGATGCCTGAGCTGGTGCTGACTGAGCAGAAAATGATGCAGTTTCCAACTGATTTTCGTTGCTTCCTGCATGCTGGAAACTCTGCTATTAAAATCTGTCTTCTGCCTAGTCAAGTGGAAGTTAAGAAACTTTGAACCTTGAGCATGCTACTGCAAACATACTAATATGTTTCAGCATATACTTTGTATTCCCCCCCGCCCCATTTTTGCCAGCAATTCTTCTGGCTGCTGCATTGGCACTGTAGCCAGAGGGAAACAGACTCAACCAAGCCATAGTTACAAGCAGGAATGGACAAAGCTGTCCATTTCAGTTTGTCATGCGCCCAGTCTTAAATTCAATTCTCCACATTTCTATAGCAATTAATCAGCATGTTAGAGTGAATTTCTCCTACTATAACATATTTGTATGACGTTTTGACTAATATACAGTGGTACCTCGGGTTAAGCACTTAATTCGTTCCAGAGGTCCGTACTGAAACTGTTCTTACCCTGAAGCACCACTTTAGCTAATAGGGCCTCCCGCTGTGCCGCACTGCCAGAACACCATTTCTGTTCTCATCCCGAAGCAAAGTTCTTAACCTGAAGCACTATTTCTGGGTTAGCGGAGTCTGTAACCTGAAGCGTATGTAACCAAAGGTACCACTGTACCCATTTTGGGGTATATGGCTTTGAATATATATAATACATACTAATGTTATTTTCACTTATATAATCATTTTTATACATCCCTTTCCTTAATATATACATTTTTGTACACATGGGGCTTCTTTAAATTCTTCATGAATACTTATTGTCAGTAGTGCATAGCATCCACAGGGGTTCTCTTGTTTTATGTAAAGGATCTGGACAGATGACTAACCTGTGACTCTCTCAATGTTGTTGGACGTCAGCTCCCATAGCCATAGCCACCATGGCCAATAGACAGAGCTGATGGGAAGTGAAGTCCAACAATGTCTGGAGGGACACAGGTTTCCCATCCCTGCTCTAAATCCTTTGGTACAGGAACCAGAATTTTCTTTTATGTTTGCAATGACTAGAAGGCTGAAGAGTTTGATGAGGAATGGGACTTCAAAGCTTAATCTGTAACAATCATGACCTCAACCTTTCCACTTTATCGTGTGCTATTTAGGAAACTTGTGTGTCATTCAATTTGTTTATTTGATGCTAAAGAAAATCTCTCTTATCAAAATGAGTTGGAGGCAACCTCACAATCTTATTATAAATAGAAAGAAATACAAGGATGAGAGAACATAATGTCAGAAATGATTAAAATCTAGTATGTACCACCAACACAAGTACTAATTTTATTATGAAGCTGAAATATTCATATATTTAATAAATGGAATTTTCAGTAAGAATTTTCACTGAATTGAGAACAAATATAAAGAGCGTTTCTGTGTGCTGCTCTGGTTCTCCAGCAGCGGCTTAGTCATGCTGGCCACATGACCCAGAAGCTGTCTGCAGACAAACACCAGCTCTCTTCGCCAGTAAAGCGAGATGACCGCTGCAACCCCAGAGTTGTCCACGACTGGACTGAACAGTCAGGGTTCCCTTTACCTTTACCTTTTATGATGCATCAATGAAAAATATTATCACCAGATAAGATTTTACAGTCAATGATAGACATAGTATAGACCCAATATTATACTCTCATAATTCCTTATGAGGAAAAGGATGCTCGACACAGCGTCGCTCTGTGCACGCACGTGGAGCAGTTTGCGCTTCTGTGCATGCGCAAGTGGCAAACCCAGAAGTCACCCGTTCCGGTACTTCTGGGTTGGCCGTGGACATCAGCTGAAATGGATGCTGGACAGGGCGGACTTATACGGAGGTACCACTGTATGGCTATTTATTCTGTCTATGCTTAGCCTCTTCTCCACTGTAGAACATGTCTATCAAGGTGCAAAAATCTTTCCAAAATATAACTTTGAGAGGTTATAACTATTAACTATTTTTTCAGTAATGGCTTCATTTTAACACATAGTTAATATTTTCTAAGCTAGTTACAGCACATTTGACTAATGCAATTCTCAGCCATCATAAAAGCATAAGGAAAGCTTGTTGACAATGTCCCATCTAGTCCAGTATCCTGTTCCCAAATGTCCAACCACAGGAGCATTAGCCAGGTGATTTAAAGGATTATCTCTTTAAATGTCAACAAATTTAGATCCTTGATTGGATTATGACCACTGTCATATTTATACTGTGATTATATTAATACATCAGTTTTGGCTCATACTTCATACATTAAATGACATTAGTTTGTTAGTGTCACAAATCCTGGTAGTTTTAATGGAATAGAGTTTGTATTTTAGGTAATTTCTCCCAAGTTCTTGATGAGGATAAAACATCTGTCTCATGTGCAACTTTAGTCAGTCTGTGTTTATATTATATCCTCCAGAAAGCTCAATACCACTTTCCAAGAAATACAGAGTTATTTAGTTTGCGTTTATATTATGCCATGTAAATTCCAAAGCAGTCCTGCTAAATGACAGTTTGGGAGTACAAGACACTACAGGAAACTGGCATTTCTGGTTCCAAAAATCCTCTGGCTGCTGCTGAGTCATGAGAAGCCTAGAGAACTGGCCTTAGCCACATACATGCAGTTTATTAAACTCTGATTTCACTGCTCATTTCAACTTCATGACAAAGCATGTTATTGTAAAAAGTCTAAGCTGTAACTACAACATGAAATCTACTTCTACCTGAAATATATTATAAAGTGACAAACAATTCAAACCCCAAAGGGCTGGTTCCAAAGGAACCTGCCAATATTAAAACATTTTTTCCTCTCCCACCAAGGACTACATGCATAACCTGAATCCACACACACACACACACACACACACCACCAATATTTCATAACTTGCAACTCTCAGTTCAAACAGAAATGATCTCATAAAAGTCCCACATTTCACTCTTCTAATAACACAATATGTCAAAGAATAAGATCTCATTACCTTAACCATTGATTTGTCTCAGGTGTTGGCAAAAGAGAAAGAATATTTTAGGAGTTTGAGCAAGGAAGATAAAAAACAGAGTCTGCCTGAATTTTCAAAGTATTGATCAGCTCAAAAACTCATGTGCAACAGCCCCATAATCAGAGGCATTGAACACAGACTCCCACTGGGTGATGGAAATGGTTTCTTCGACTTCACATTTTTCCTGCAGATAAATCTATCTTAGGTTTGTTTACATCTACACGAGATGCAGAAATAAGAACTGAAAAGACCAAACTTTTCCTAGTGGGTGTTTTTCAGGTAGCACCCCAAATGCCATCATAACTTACTTGCTTAATACACAAGGAGAAGATGTGGCCTGTTGAATACTACTGTACATAATAATAGCTGCCAAATTTAACCTTTTAATCATAAGCATTACATCCTCAATGGTGATACCCTCCCGAATAACAGATTTTCAAATAGTAATGTTTCTTGATCAGACTTCATAGCCCTAACAAATACATGCACAAAATGAAGAAGAAGAAGAGTTTGGATTTGATATCCCACTTTATCACTACCCGAAGGAGTCTCAAAGCGGCTAACATTCTCCTTTCCCTTCCTCCTCCACAACAAACACTCTGTGAGGTGAGTGGGGCTGAGAGACTTCAGAGAAGTGTGACTAGCCCAAGGTCACCCAGTAGCTGTATGTGGAGGAGCGGGGATGTGAACCCGGTTCCCCAGCTTATGAGTCTACCGCTCTTAACAACTACACCACACTGGAGAATGGTCTTTCTGATTATTGTTCATTTACTGTTAAATGCAACTTGTAAAGACTACTACCGAACATGTTGATACTGAATGAACAATGCCATTGGGTGGTATCAACTAAATAAGCTTAAGAGCCGGAACCACCTTGTATGAGATTTTTGTAAGTGAACCGCCCTGGGATCTCTGGATGAAGGGCAGTATACAAACTTAATAGATAATAATAATAATGCCTTTTGCATTCAGTACACATCATATATACTAACAGAGTACGTCCTCCATGCTTTGAATGTGACTTATTGAACAGAAAAATCAGTTTATTTAAATCATTTTTTAAAAAATAATTTTTATTAACCGTCCAGTCAAATCAAATTTAATCACATCACATAAGTTCCGAATTACAAAGCCAAATTTTAAATTTTGTTGGGGGGACCCATATTTCAAGATCTGAAGGGGGATTCTGATCATCTTCTTGCTACTGCGTTAATGTCCAAATCAGTCCAAATCAGTCCAAACAAAGTTCATAACTCAATCCAGTCTTATCTTGCTGTTTCCACATCACATCTTGTTTATATATTTTCTCTTTTTTCTTTATGATCTCTTCTGATAGTCTCCTTAAGCCGATAAACACCAATAATAATAATAATCCTGTGTGAATTTTCCGTTCTTCCATTCCTCAAATCGAGATGGTTTCCATATATCATCGCCTTCATAGATAACATCGCTCTTTCCATCTCGCCAAACTGTCGCTCTTGAGTCCCTCTGAGGAGTTTCACCCACAATATATAAACAGCTCTATTTCTCTCTTTCTCCTCCCAGACTCAAGACCTCCGACAGAACTTCCCAATATGGTGACGGCATTTTTAACTGCGTCATTCCCAAGTTCTTATACATTCCTCGCTCTTCTTTAAACATGCTTTGGTTCGAAAGTTTATCTCCACACAGCCTTAAATCCACAGCTTAAATCCTTAAAACGACATTTCTGACTCGTAACTCGTGAGGGGAGGGGATTCTTGTTAATCACATAAGAAAAGAAAGGAAAGTTTTTTTTCCCCTCCCCCATCAGTCATTTGCCATACCGTGTCTTGGTGTATCTTCTCATGTTTTATTCTTGTCTTGTTTTATCAGAGATCTCTTTTATAGCAGTCTTTACTCCCCCTCCTTCCTTGAAATATGTGCATTCCTTCATCCAAATTGTTTTCTTTTGAAGTTCTTGCAGCTAGTGGCGCGAATCAGGGACGGCGTCCAGAAGTGCCGGAATCCCACAGGAGGGCTTTGTGCCTAGTGCCCCCATCCCCACAAATTCGGGGGTGGTATAGGACACAGCAGGCAAGGGCAGTCCTCCCCACCGTCCTGGGGGGGGTTAGGGAGGCTAATTACTCCCATCATAGCCTCCAAATTACCTCGTGTGGGTCGGAGAGATGTTATTGTCAGCCATCTTCCGATGCGCCCCCTAGTGGCCCCCAGTTTATTTAAATCATTTATACCTCATCCTTTCTCTGCAGAGCTCAAGGCAGCTAATGACAAAGATAAAATAATAAACTGACAATTTAAAACAACATGCGCAATATACCAATAACATATTAAAATAGCAGCAGAATGTAACAAATTACTACAATAAATTTGTATAAAAAGCAGAGATAGTTAAAAACCAAATTCAGTAATGCAATAATGCACATTCCAAATGCTATTCTTGATGACTGACAGCTAAATATGTGAACTGGTTCAATGGGAAAGCATTGCATTTGAGGTGGCATATGGTGATCAGAAAAGTATTACCTGCAGCATTATATCTATGATGATTCATTCTCCCAGGTGATGTTGCAGATCATGTAATGAACATTCATATGTGAAACAACCCTTAGGACAGGCTTGGGGAATCTGTGCCCTCCCCATTTGTTGTTGGGTTCCAGATTCCTTCAGCTCCAGTCAACATAACTCGTAGTCAGGGATGGTGGGAGCTGTAGTCCAACAACATCAAATCACCAAACTAAGGAAGTTGTTCTTTGCAGAGAAGCACAATGAGAAGAGAAAATAGTTTGCATAGTTCTTAGCAACCATTTGCTGTTGTTACTGAGAACGTGCCAACAGAGAGTCATTTAGACAAAGCTTTTCTGCTGCTCTTCCAGCTTTCCAGCTTGGTTACCCATATTCCACTCCTTAATTTATTTTTGTGTTGTTCTACAAAAATGTGCCAAAGGCCTCACATTTCTCATTCGCAGGAAGCTTTCCAAGGCCAAGATACTCTTTGCTTCTAGCAAACATTGCCATTCCAAGCACTTCCTAATTGAACTGTCACAGCTCATGCTGTTCCCATTATTTTATTTCAGACCCCCAAAAAGCAGAGGCAAGTTCCCCTTGTGAACTATGAGAAGGCCTTCTGCACAGGAAGAATAAAATGCAAATGATGACTCAGAAGGTATTCACTAATAATGAATGGCGACAACCTTGTGGCAAGATGGATAGAGTGGAGAGATGCACGTTGAGCTGAAAGAAGCATTCCAGTGAGTCTACTAGAGACTAAATAATCTTTATGGTGTTCTTTCCAGACCTCTTTGATAGGCAAGGAATTAATCGTGGTAAGACAGAACAAGGGCTTTAAGGGCTATCTGCATCACAGCACACACTTAAGTTGCAGCATGTGGTTAAGGGTACTGGTGCTGTTTTTCATGAGCTTGAGAAGCCAGAGAGGCAGTTGGCAACTAAGGCCCCTCAGCTCAAGAGGACCTCCTGGTTCAGAGAACCAGCTTCCCAAGTTCGTGTCAGAACTACATCATTTAGAGGATGATGGCCCATGACAGGGAGGACCCACGAGCTCTAAGGCAAAGCTATGCAGCTCACAAAAGGTGGGTGAGATTGCTTGAATGGGTGGATAGGGATGTTGGGAATTGGACGCAAGCTAGCGAGGGTGGTTAGTTGGTTAAGCCCGAGAGGTGACTCCTTAGAGGCATCCACCTCACAGCTGTGATAAAGAAAGGTTTATATTGCCTTTTCGAGCCTTGACCCTATTGTGTCTTAACCACCTGGCCAATCAGGGCTCAAGGAGCAGGACTGTACTCCTGTGCTTCAAAGGTATTCTGCTGTGCTTTGATCCCACTCAACAACCCGGTCACAGCATTTGGTACCATCTTCAGCTTCTGGATCAATCCCAAGAGAACCCCCATATTGAGTGTGTTACAGTAGTGCAGCAATGAAATGATAAAAATGTCTACATGGGAGAAGAAATATGGCGCTTTTATGAGCACCCTGTTTCACCACAGGGACCCGGTATCTTGTTAGTATATATGTTTCCTTGGGTGTAGGGAGGAGTTGGTATCAGCCTGATGTTGGAACATTCCTTTTTCTGCCAAATATTCCTCTTGGCTATATCTAATAGTAGCTATTAGATTTGCCTCTCTTACAAATGTTCTCAATGCAGCTCTAGCTTCCAGCCAAGCAAGCTGCCTGGCAGCGTGGCATCTTAAAGCTGTCACTTTACCACTGACTTCCCATGCAATAATTTCAAATGACTGGAGAACACCAACCAAAACATACCTGGGGGAGAGCAGTTGGACTCTAGTTCAAGTGAGCAAAGGTCAGACCTCAGCTGTAGGCAGAAATGAAGTATCTCTCTTAGGTCTCAAAATTTGTCTCTGTAATATTCAATTTTAAAGGCTGTCAAAGAGAAGATCAGTCATTTCACACTGTAACAAGAATAGACATCCAAAAGCGTTCCTGAACATTGCTTTATCTTTGAAGCTGAGGATTTTAAAATCATCTTTAAAAATGAGAACTACTCACCCCTTTTCCAGCTATCTCCACATACACTCCAAGCTGAAGCTTAAAGAAAGAACATAACATAAGAATAAGTGTAATGTAAGAGAAGTCAGATATTGGATATTGTGGTCCCCACTGGGTCATCTTGGGCTATGTGATCCTCAACTCTCAGGCTAACCTACCTCACAAGGTAGTTGTGAGGATGATTTAAGGAGGGCGAGGACCATTTATGCCTCATGGGATATAAATGTAATAAATAAACAAATCCTTTGCTGAATTAGACCAACAATACATCTTTTTATTAATGTTAAGGAACCAGAAATCACATATTTTTTTCCTATTTTGCATTTCGCCCCTTGAAGTGAGTTTTTCTTTCTGCTGAATATACAAACAATTCTCACATGTTAGATGCACTGCTACACACATTATTAAATTTCTTGTTGTATGCTACACACAAACTAACCAGCACATGAACAGATACATATAACAATGCATTTAACACTATAAAAATGCTTATATATGAAATTATGAAATTATGCTGCGGATGTACAGTACCATAGGTTTGAAACCAGATTTTGGAACATAGGTGAACTCCAGGTTTGTTCTGAATGTTCTCTTGATCAGTCTCATGGGCTAACCCTACACATTCTAGGGCTAGGGGTAGAGAACTGCTTTCAGCCCAAGGATCACATTCCTTCTGGGCAACCTTTTGGGAGCTGCATAGCAGTGGTGAGCAGGAGCATGTGCAGGTGCAGGGGCAAAAGTGGGTGGAGCAACAAATTTAATTTTAGCTTTGTACTGTGGGCTAGTGTCTACACATAGAGACAACTCACTCGATCCTCCATTGAACCAATTATGAGTCATTATCAGAGTTCAAGGACACATTCCTGCCTAGCAAAAACACTCAGGGGGAATGTAAAGGAAGGCCACTGAGAAATGTGCCCTGGAGAAAGAGGGTATGGCCTCAGAAAAGTTTCAAGGGCCAGATAGAGCAAGGGCCATAATGTGACCATGGGCCTGTGGTTCTCCACTCTTGTTCTAGGGTCTTGAGACAGAAAAAAGCTAGGCAGATCTTTAAGGAAACTTAATGGTGGATTAATTTCTTTGTCTTGTTGATACCAGGTCATAACTCTGAAAGACGGGACATTGTTCTGAGAGATGCAAGAGACTAAACCCTTCCATTAATAGGCCATACCATCAAACCAAATCAAAGGATCACTCTATTTAGCGAACTATCCTAAATTAATCATGCTAATATAATAACTATTTCTTTTTGGTAAAACTGTTCTTTGTTTTACAAGGATCCTGTAAGGCCACAGGGAACTAGGGATAGAGTATATATAATATTATATTCTTTTGCTGAACATTTTTCATTCACTTTTGACTCTAAAAGGCCAGTTAACTCAAGGGCTGTACAGCAGGGCTATTTGCATCCTAATTAGAACAGCCTGCTCTGGCCTCATATTTCATTTGTTCTAAGCAGCACCAGGCTTTTTCAGTAGGTAAATGGCAGCCTAGGGTTGTACCAGCACCTTTTTTTTTTTTTACTTTACATTTGCCTTGAACATTTATCCCTAAAGAAGAAGGTATAATTCAAAAGCTTACATTCAGTGGCCAGCATCTGAACTGCTGTGCAGGGATTATGCAAGACGGCCAAGTGCTCCCAAAACTGAAGGGACCTTTGGGAGCAACCTTAGATGTGGCATAAGGAAGTATGCCTGAAAGGAAACTGAGGAAGGCCTCAGTGCATGCTCAGAAGATCATGGCATGCACATGTTTGGCTCCTGACCAATAAGGTTAGCCTCTCAGTCCTTCTTTGCAAATTAATTACTCCAGTATTTTATTATTAGAGAGGAAAATGTTTTATTGACCCATGTGGGGAGGAGATGGGGGGATCACTCAAACCAGCAAGCTGCAATGCTTCTGTAGATGGAACGTTTGCAATTGGGTGAACCCTACAACTTAAAAGTGCCTAAGAAAAAAAAAGTTTTTCAAACAACAACAAAAATAATAGTTTTTTCCATAACTGAACTATTTTATCTTCCTGAGTCTTTAGTTTTCCTGCTTGTTTTGGAGGTGGCAGCCATTTTGTGAAAGGTCATATTCCTGGTGGTAGCCATTTCTGGCTGATGCACTCAGCATCTCCTGAAAATTCAAAATGTGCCCCCAGACCCAAAAAAGGTGGTGAGCACTGTCTCGGACCATCACCTACACCAGGGAATGGGATTCTGTGGCCCTCCAGATGTTGCTGGACTTAACTCTATCCCAGATACCAGGGCTGCAGGTTCGCCATACCTGCCTTACATCATTCCTGAGGGTCTCTCAATGCACAGAAGCATTTTTTCCCCCAGAGGTATGTGGAAGAAATAGAGCGGTGGGAAAGACCTGTTCCATGAATGTGGATTCTTGTTTCTTTCAAAAAATGGAAGTTAGGATCCATATAATATAATGTGAGAAATACAGCAGTAAAGGAAAGCAAAAAATATTTCTCCTATTAAGAAACAGAGGAATAGCCATATTTTAAAGAAATGAGGTTATTCACACTTGATATTTTAAGTGCCAGAATGGCTCCCAGATGATGGCAGGGTTGTGAATGAAGGAAGATTATATTTATAAGATAAAGGTTATCTAATTTGGCTGTTCCCTTGATTAATATCAGCTTCAGAGCTATTAAGCAAGAACGGCATTCTCCTGAGCTGCACATGTGGTACCTAAATGACCAAAAGTAAATGTGTGAAGCAAGTTTGGAGATCCTTCTTTGGGCAAAATGTCCAAGGAATTCTGAGGGAAGCTAAATGAGTTTCACGAAGGATTTTTTTCCTGGCAATTCCACACATGGTGTTTCCTGCTTGGCAGGGGGTTGGACTCGATGGCCCTTGTGGTCTCTTCCAACTCTATGATTCAATGATTCGATGAATCTATGACATCCCTTCTGGATGTTCATTCTATACATGGAAGGTGGGGCAAGATCATGCTACCACCTGATTTCCCCCGCTCACAGCAGCCCTCTCTGCATACCTCTCAGGATCTCCCAACTTTTGTTGACATTATACTTCATTATTTCTTTGATTTTATCATTCTGTTCTGAGATACTTGAGACTGGACACTGGTCATTCTGAACTTAAAAAATAGGAACTCTTTAGATACTGTAGCCCAATGTTGTTGCTAATAACAACAACAACAACAACAATAATAATAATATATTTATACCCCCAGCCACTCTCGGCGGCTCCCAACAGAATTAATTATAATAATAAAAAGGGGGTAAAACATCAGACATTAAAAACTTCCCTAAACATGTGCAACACCATAATAAACCTGGGCTAGGAACCCAAGAACCATAGAATTAGCTCCATCCTCCCAATGGAGCCATCATATTGTGGCAGTACACCAATGCAATGGTCATTGTACCGTGCCCTAAACATTCATCTGCCATTGCATTACATATTCAGATTCTATGGAAAATTTAAAATGGTGAGATTGTGAACAGAGCAAGCTAAAATAATGATACATCTTGCTATTTGAGAGAGAAAAATGTGGGATGACATGTAATTCCAAAATCTATTTCCAAGGAGCCATACACGGTAGCTAGTCATTAACCATCTGAAACAACAAGTTGAAGACTAAAAAAGTAATTCAAACTGAAGATTGATTTAAGGAATTAGGCAGGTTCCAGCTATGACTAATTAATTATTGAAGTTAAAGTATTGTCCCTCCACAGTAGGTACTTTTTCATAATTACAGCTCAGAGTAACATTTATCTTAATTAGGATCTCTCATCTCATAAAGAGTTGCTGCACAGCATCTTTTATTCTGATCTATTATAGATTTTGTTTGGAAGATGCAGACGGGTGTGTCATTTCATTGGGACACAATTGTAAATACCGTATCTAGATCGCCAGCTCTGTGGCATCCTTGAACAAACTGTCTGCATTTGTTTTAAAAATAGCTTTCAGTTAATTTGTTTCTTTTCAGAAAGGTATTTTCGATTCAATCTATTTGGGACAGATAATTTTGAATCAGGGTAGGTGTTTTCTTTTTGCATTCTTGTGACATTTGCTTTTTCCTCGGCTTCAAGTCACATCCAGAGTTTCCCAACTGAGAAAGGGAAAAGATCAGCACCCTTGATTTGAACCTCTGTGCTTTGCCTTTAAACACCCCAGTAGCTTGGCAGGAAACTATTTCTAACCGAGGCAACAAGCAGAAAGATCACTCTTTGCTTGCACTCAGGGGGAAAGAACGCAGCACTTGCACTCAAATGCTTGACTGTTGTCAAGTTATCCATTTTATATACACTCCATACTACACTTTCCGGAAGTCTCTGTTAAGGGATATAGGAAGCAAAGGGAATCAGAAAGTAGGAGCTAGGCAAAGGGTTAAGAAAAACATAGAGATTAGAAATACTGTTAGAGGAATTCAGAAGCTAAAACAATTAACCATCTACAAGAGATTTTGTTGTTAGACAAACTTCAAAGGGATACAACCATCTGCAAATGAAGGTGGGATCTTGGAACACTGTTAATACTGTGACTCATTTACAAAATTCAAACTGGACAAGGTAAATAATGCTCTTCAAAGTACAACATGACTACAACACAGCTACAGTGAGTGCTCCCAGCTGGGAGCTTAATTTGCAAATGGGTTGTTGAGATATCATAAGCAGGTAACTGGCAAAAAATATATTAGATTACATCAAAAAATGGTATTTCCCAGATTAGGTGAGGAAAACTATGGGCTGGTGTCTTGGTGCCGACAATGTTGTATGAACACTACAAAAACTTGAATGTGTGAGGAGCACCAGTCCTGAAACAAATAACTGACTGGAAGCTCCAGTACAATAGATTACCACACTCCTGCTATTTGCCAAAAGGAAGTGGCACCTTTGCACCAGCTACAGCTGCATTTCATACCACATAGAAATGTTATGATGGGAAGGCTTATCTGGACATAGAAAACACACCCCTGATAAATCTATAGATGCATATGATAGTGCACGGAACTAGCTAAATCATGTGTGTATGGAGCATTAGAAGCAGATATCTTTATGGATCTAGTGGTGGGGAAATGTGTACACAAAATATTACAGGATGACTTGACACTGGCGGTAAGAAAGGGCTTGAGAAGAAAGTACCTAATGGTTTCCAAGAGTGGTGACTCTGCCAATATTTCCATTAACCATGTCAATCAACAAGCCAAGGCTAAAATATATGTGAAAATCACCAGGGATGCAGTGCGCTGTATACAAATTAGACAAACTGTATGTTACCTGTGTTGCTTGCATGCAGACCCAAACATTTACATGATCACCAAATCAGTTAAAATTCTTCCTTGGAACAAGCAAGGCATCAACATTCTGGGATCTACACATCAAACAGATGTGCTTACAGTCACTGATTATTACTCTTCTTACCCAGAAGCAATGGAACTGCTAAAGAAATAGTTCTTCAGATACTATCAGCAGTATACTGCAGATTTTGTTTTGCCAGTTTTGGATGTCCTCTTGATGTTGGCACTGACAATGCTAAACAGTTTGTTGCCTGTCTCACTGAACAGCTTTTCAAGTCTTGTGGTAGTAAACATATCTGTGCTTCCCCATATTATCCAAAAGTAGTGGGGAGATCAAATATTTTCATTGCTGTTTGAAGAAAACTCTGCAAGCAGCACACTGTGAAGAGAGGAACTAGGGGGAAAAAAGAATTATCAAAGATCTTAATGGCATATCGATCTACCCTGCCCAGGGCTTCAAAGAAGATACATGTTAGATTGCTTTTGTCATATGGTATCCGCACTAACCTTCCTGGGCCTTGTGATCAAACGGACCTAGATGAGCTTTTCGTTACAGACAATCACCAGCAGTACTTGAACAAGATGAAGCAATAACGTTGATGCCAAGCAGAGGGCTAAGGAGCTGGGAATGTATTCTACATTGCTAACAATAATGTAGGCAATAAACTTCAATCAACATAGACATGCTATGCCATTCTTAGGAGCAGATTGTACACTTCATAGGAGCACGTTAACACTGATAATGGGCGAGTTATAAGTAGGAATATCACATTTCCGTGAAAGTTTCCATCTTGGTTTGAGCACAATGATGCAGCAGTCTCTCAAGAAAGAGAATTTTACAAAAAAGAAAGGAAGATACTTATATATTAGTTGTCAATTTGAGAGATGGAAAGGTGAGATTGCCTACCTCTCAGAATTCATTATGGCATGATGTACTTGCATGATGTGACTCTTGTTAGTACGCAGACTGTTCTCCTGTGAGACATTACTGTGTTACATAAGGTTTCTTGATTGTAAAAGACACTCTTGTTACCTGCTATTTTATTTCAAAGTTTAAAAATATTTTTTTAAAAATAATAATAATAAAGAAGTTGAAACAACTCTTTGTCTAAAGAGATTTCATTGTTATTAGACAAACTTCAAAGAGACATAACAAGGGCTTGCCAGGCTCTTCCAAACCCTTCTTTGCTGGTTCTTGTTTAAACAGTCTAGAAATGAAGATGTACCGTATTTTTTGCTCTACAAGACTCACTTTTTCCCTCCTAAAAAGTAAGGGGAAATGTGTGTGCGTCTTATGGAGCGAATGCAGGATGCACAGCTATCCCAGGGGCCAGAACAGCAAGAGGGATTGCTGCTTTCACTGCACAGTGATCCCTCTTGCTGTTCTGGCTTCTGAGATTCAGAATATTTTTTTTCTTGTTTTCCTCCTCCAAAAACTAGGTGCGTCTTGTGGTCTGGTGCGTCTGGAGCGAAAAATACGGTATTTCTTGAGCTTTTAGTAAAATAGGCCTGGGGGGATCTTTCAACAATGGAAGTCTTGCAAAAGCTCTGAGGCCCTTTGCTTGTGAAGTCCTAAATTCAGACTGCTTTAAATGGTTCTATTAAATGACACCCCATCTTATTGCTGATATGTTTGATGTTTTATTGTCTGCTTATATAGGGAGATTGACATTGGGTATGGCCTGAAAATATAATTTACACATCTTAAAAGCATCTTTCCATTTTTCCACATTAATCTGCATTTTTTTATTAAAAAAATCCTCAAGAAAATTCATCAGCATCTTAATATGAATTTCTCCTAGTGCACCTTTTTTGTATGCAGTTTTGCCTAATACACACATTTTTGCAGTGAATTTCCTGTGAAAATATGCAGTTTCTCCGAATGTATATTTTTGTAAATACTGTTTGGTCAGAGAGCTGTGTTACAAAATTCATAGAAGTGAAAATTTCAAATGATAATTGTCTTTCAGTTTATGCATTGGTTTTTTATATTATTATTATTACTATTACTATTATTATTATTATTATTATTATTAATCCCCCAGCCACTCTGGGTGGCTTACAGCATATATCAAAACATATTAAAACACCAAACATTAATAACTCCCTGATACAGGGTTGCCTTCATATGTTTTCTAAAAGTCAGATAGTTGTTTATTTCCTTGACATCTGAAGGTAGGGTGTTCCACAGGGAGGGTGCCACTACTGAGAAGGCCCTCTGCCTGGTTCCCTGTAACTTCACTTCTTGTTGTGAGGGAACCAGCAGAAGACCCTCAGAGTAGGGCCTCAGTGTCCAGGCTGAATGATGGGAGTGGAGACGCTCCTTCAGGTATACTGGGCTAAGGCCCAGGTATACTGGGCTCAGTGTAAATTAGATAGGTTTTCATTAAACCCCATTTGACTGGTCTGTTTCAAGACACAATTCAAAATGTTGCTTAGAATCTACAAAGTCCTACACAACTTGGGACCAGGTTATCTGAAAGAGAGTATTCTCCCAAAGAAGCCTGCATGAGTTTTAAGAGCCTCAGCAGGGGCCCTTCTTTCTGTCCCACTGACATCTGAATGACATTTGGCAGTAACCTGAAAAATATTTTTCTCAATGGCTGCTTCCAGATTCTAGAACTTCTTGCCAAAAGAAGACACATCTAGTCCTGTCTAGAATGACCTTCTGCAGACTGCCAAAAATGTTTTTATTTAGACAGGTCTTTGGCCCATAAGCTGATTTGTAAGTTGGAGCTGGTTTTAACTGGTTGTTATTGATGATTTGCTTGCCTCGCTCTTACATTTTTTAAATTTTATATTTGATTGCTGCTGTCCTGAGCACCATTTGGCAGCAAAACAGGATACGTATTTAAGAAAAGAACAAACAAATTACATAAATGCGATGACACAGAACTGAAATATCAGCCCTAAAATATAAAGAGTATCTGTACTAGGATATTTGCTTCTGATGGCATGGAAAAATATCTATCAGCTGGAGACAGAAAGTCGTTTGTAAAGGACAAGCAAGACAAATTTGTAATCTAAACAATGTTACTGCAAACCTTTGGGACATCGCTATTGATCGCATGGTTTGTGTTTAGCTGATTTTAAAAAAGCAAATGAAACAAAGGTAATAAATACAGTAGGTTCCCTTAGAACTTATGACTACCAATATTTCGTATAGAAGAAGGTTCCCATGTCTAATTTGATGGGCAGTTGAAACACAGTTATATTTCTAAGAGTCCATCATTCATTGCATGCTTAGAAAGCTTTTTGTTGTTGTTTAGTCATTTAGCTGTGTCCGACTCTTCGTGACCCCATGGACCAGAGCACGCCAGGCACTCCTGTCTTCCACTGCCTCCCGCAGTTTGGTCAGACTCATGTTGGTAGCTTCGAGAAAACGTGTTCTCCCTAGCAGAGAGTGCGTGTTGCGGTGGGGGATACAAGCCACCCCATTGTTGCTGGGCAAATTTGTGGAGGGACCCAGGCAGTGAATTGGTTAATCGGGTCGCTGGGGAGAACTGCTTGTTGCCAATTTTGAAGGAGGGGTCAGAGGTTTTAAATACTGGTCGCCCAACTTTGAGCGTTCTCTTGGCTGCTTGCACTGGATCACCTGCCCACCCTCCCTGTATTGGGGGGGTTGTTCGCTTGACCTTGCTATGCCTGTCATGGGGTCATCTGCTTTGAGGCAGGGGCCTGGTAGGAATTTGTCCATTTGGCTGATTGGCTGGTGCCATTTGGGTTTGCCTACTGCGTAGCAAATCGTCATAACTTGTAAGGTTGGCGGTTAGGCATTGGTTCAAATTGGTTGGTGGAGGGGTAAGTGCCTACCCCTCCAATGGTGGTGCGGAAAGGGAATTCCGTTAAAGGAATCCAGGGGCGTGCCATTCTTTTCGTCATTGTTCCTGGCATCGGACTTGGGCCATGCAAGCCACCAGGACCATGAGGGTGAGAAGTGAGGGACTGAGGCCCAGCTTCATTTTCTCCCCAAAATTTGTTTCCCGCACTGGCTTTTGCTTGAATCTGGAAGTCAGTTCTGTCCCCTGGGCAAGGACAGATAGTCGGAACCAATGCCTAAGCAACCACTCACTTGGATGTATTTAAATAAAGTTGTGGCCAAAATCATGCCAAAAACCCAAACCAAAATTGATGTGTGATGTGTGAGTTATTGGGGGGTGGCTTGGGGACCTCGACACGCAACACTGCCCAACCATCTCGTCCTCTGTCATCCCCTTCTCCTTGTGCCCTCAATCTTTCCCAGCATCAGGGTCTTTTCCAGGGAGTCTTCTCTTCACATGAGGTGGTCAAAGTATTGGAGTTTCAGCTTCAGGATCTGTCCTTCCAGTGAGCATTCAGGGTTGATTTCCTTAAGAATGGATAGGTTTGATCTTCTTGCAGTCCATGGGACTCTCAAGAGTCTCCTCCAGCACCATAGTTCAAAAGCATCAATTCTTTGGTGTGGTACTATATTATGGATCACTATTTGCAAACTGATATGTGAGGTTTCTCTACCAGAAAAGCAGTACAATCATTGCTTAAACTCCTCATTTCTCTGCCTTGCATATATGAGCATAGTAAAGTTGCCTCTTCAACATACACAACACCAAACACAATACCCAGATACATATATAATGGTACTGTATATCTAATTCCTTGGGGAAAAACCTTTTTCTGTAGTCCAATTTCAGCTATTCCTGTAGGTTGAAGCCCTCTCACACATATCCTGAAACCTCAATCTCCAAAAGGTATTTTCATCTATGTGAAAATAATGACCAGCCCATCTGAACCTTTTCTCTTCACATAGTTATTAAAGGCAGTAACAATTACATATGCTAGATATTAATGTTTGTGAGTATAACACAGTACCCATTTTACCCATTCATTAGGGTCTTGTGTGGAGTTTTCATATATTAAACAACCTGTTTTTCTACAGACATGAGCTTATAATAATCATCAGTACAACTTTTGGCTTCTCTTCTTGGGCTCATAGCTATTTGATGCAATAGCAATCTT